AAATACATATTAGATTCAAATAGTCCTACTTTAATAATGAAATTTTTATAAAAAATGCAATTTGAAATGAATTAAAGTAACAATGGAAAATGTCTAAATAGACATAATCTTACAAGTGGAGATTTTAGTAATAGACAATTAAGAACTGTGACAAGGGTAATTTCGCCCGTATAATTTTATTTTTATATTAAAATAAGTTGAGTAAATATAAAATGGATTATTGAAATAACTAATGAGGCAATGTAATAAGGCTATGATTTTTGTTGTTGTTTGTTAAAAGGTGTCTTCTCTTGAAAATGGCCTAAGGGCTGAAATGTTGGATGTGCAGTAAAAATTAAGTAGGACTACTTGGATCTAATGTGTGTTTTTATTATCTTATTTTGATTATATTGGCGGAGAATTATTTGTGCAATAATTTAATTGCTTAAAACAATCATAGAATTTTATTATTTTAATTTTGTTATTTTATTTATTTGTTTTAAAACTTTCTCTATTCAGTACTAAGGACGTTTAAGATGGCCTCCCTTGGAAGAAAAAAAAAAAACAGTATTAGTACAACTTGCAATACTTGAATTTGAATAGCTAGCAATTTAACAGTTTGTTAATAATATATTTATTTATGAGGTGATGTTGGGGTAAAGTCTGCGGTGAGGATCTGATGCTACTTTGGAGTCTGGAACTGCGGCGAAGTGGTGCTGAGTTTGTATCTGGCCTAGTTTCTATGGAATCCATAGAAACTAGGCCTTCCATCATTGGTCTAGTGTTAAGCTAAATAGTTTTACCACTATTTAGCCTATTTATGACCGCAACTCTGGACCATCTCCTTCCTTTATAATGCAACGGTCAACTATTAAATATTCAATATGACTCAAAAACGACTGGGGGCCAACAACGGCCAGATACAAACTCAGCACCACTTCGCCGCAGTTGCAGACTCCAAAGAAACTATATTTATTTATTGATTCTTACAGGTTTGTTAGAGGACGGGATGGCCGAGCACGTCGGGGTATGGGTCCTAAAGTGTCTTGTTCTGAATGTTGTGGATTTGATTCCCACCTGGGTCGGTTACTTTTCATTTCTCGGCGGCAAAGGGAAATGGACAGTGACATTCCCACTTCTTTTTTTTTTTCTCCCCTTCCTTGCCTTTTATGCTATTCAGAGTTTTCCCAGGCCAGGAGTTGAGGGCGGGGGATTAATTTTAGAGTTAAAAGACCCTCTGGCACTGGGAATCATAATTATTTTGTCATTTATAACTTCGGTTATCAGCTTTGGGGACAAGGAGCACACCATTAGCACGTTCGGCCATCCAGCTCATCTGGTAATTGTTAAATTTTATTTTACTTCCTTTATTCTGTTCTGAGATTGGGCCCTAGTATAAAAAGTTATGAACAGTTAATGAAAAATAATTAAAAAATTTTTGGATCCATTTTTCATTCCAAAATGCATAGACAAATAGAAATATCTTTATCATTATTCAAAAACTTTTATTTAGTTGTTATCCAAACATTCCTTTATAATGGCAGATGTAGTATAAAATAAAATTTTTGAAAATAGTGCAGATCCAGCTAATAAAATGGTTATCAGTTATTACCAAAAACAAATTGTCTAAACAAGAAGATATTGACAAATAATTTTACAAATATTAGAAAGGTGAAAAATGTATTAAGAAATATTTGAAAATGGCCAAAGAGCTAAAACGTTACAAATATATTTGATAGCAACTAAATATGATTTTTTTAATGCCAATATTTTTTATATGTTTATGTAATTTGGGTTGAAAATAAGGTCCAAAAATTTGTTAATTGTTGATAATTAATTTTTCATAAATTAGCATATTTTATCCTTTTTTAATATAATATACAATATAAAAAACATAATTAAAAAAATCCAAAATTATACAATCTTAATAATAAATGCTCCATTTTCTCTGTAGAAAGAAAGATGGAAAGAGGTAAAACTAAATGCTCTTCTAGGTAACTGAAAATTGTGGTAAGAGATTGGTCTCAAAATGGAGAAAAATGTGAAAGTGAACCAGAAAGTTTTTAAAAATTGATTAACGGAATGACGAAAGAATCTTCAAAACTCAAAAAGAAACCAAATATAATGATGGATACATTATTTGGTGGAACGAATAAACAGTAAACAAATGAAGAGAGTATTTCAAGCAGCTGCTAGATGGGAGCTAGGTTAGGTGAGATTCAGAGGATTATAAGAAAATTTATTCTGCTGAAGACGATTTAATTTTCAATTGAAACTAAGTTTGGAACTATTTTCACCTTGAGACAGGATATGAAAAGTCCATTGAGAAAGGGAAATAGCTTTCTATCTGCTTCATGATTCTGGAAAAGATCTTAGAAAGAATCAGAAAGGAGAATATATAATGAGCTCTTCTGAAAGACAATTAGATAATGGCCCGATACAGGGTGTACACACTAAGAAGATAGAGAGTTATTTCCCTTTCTCAATATACTTCTTTATAACCTGCCTCAAAGCAAAGATAATTCCAGTGTGCAACTTGAGTTTCTGAATCTATTTCACCCAGGCAATCGACGATTCTTCTTATTCTTGCTGCTTGCTGAAACTCTTGATTGAGGTGATTGTTTTACTGAGCAGGGATATGACTCGATTGCTATTGCATTTCTTATGATCTCCTTGCTGATAGGCTAGGCTATAGGCTATTGCCCTATAGTATCAGTTTCCTTATGGCATATAAGGTTCAAAAGATGGAGAAATATTTCTTCACATTTGCTACCTATGTACAGCGGAGTGGCCGAGCGGGCTAACGCGTATGCAGAGAACTTTTTTTTTTACAGAGAACTGTGTTAACTGCACCATTTCAGGAGTTATTTCATCCAGCCTTGGTGACTTGCTAACTGCTTACTACAATGCTTTTTTGCTATTAAAAAACGTCTTCATCAGAATATAACTTCATCATCCTCTGAATTGAATCTGACCTAGCTACCTTCTAGCACCTCCTTGAGAAATGCTCTCTTCATTTATCTGCTATATATTCTTTTGGCTAAATTATGTTTGCATCATTATCCTCATTTTTTTTTTCAAAAATTTTGGCAATTCGTTCCTACTTCTGTCAATAAATTTTTAAAAATGTACTTCCCACGATTTTCAGTTACCTAGAAGAACATTTTAGCTTTGCCTCTTTTCATCTTTCTTTGTGTAAAGAAAATGAAGCATTATTATTAAGATTATATAATTGTTAATGATAGAAACTATCCAAATTCAAGATATCCAGCCAAGCACTACTGAATTAAGTTTTATTATTACAATTATGTATGTTTTAACCATCTCAAATGTCCACAGAACAGAATAAAGAAAGAATTAAAAAAATATTGCATAATTGTTTAAATTTAAGCCTATTATTTTTTCAGGTTTTATTATTCTCTGACTATACAGCTTAACCAAAGGCCAATTATGACAAATTAACCCAAGTGCTGAATGACAGTGACTGAAAAACTAACTCAAGACAAATTCGTCAATCTACCATATTTGAACACCATTTTGGGAGTATGGCCACTTTGTTTTCTGGGTACCTTGTTGTTTTAAATTTATAGTTGCAAGGAACACAATGATATGCATATTATAGGGATGTGGTGAACGGTAGAGATGTCTGGTCCTATTATTAGATTACCTACACAGACTATTAGATTAGCTGTTTAACAACAGTATTAAAACAAATCTGGTATAAATCTCAACGATATTTGAATACTTTCACAGAATAATTATGTTCCTTATAATTCTAATTAAAGATAACTTAATACTGCATTCCAAATAACAAATGAACAAAATTCAATCACACGACAATTAAATAAACTGAAACTTTATTCAAAATTGAGGTGTAAGGAAGCCTAACAAAATCAATCATCAATCAATGTGACACTTTTTTCACACAAAATAAATCTCCAGTTAACATCACAGAGTCATTTACAACAGCAAAGTGAAACAATATGTAGTCAAACAGTTTTACTAAGCGCTCTTAAACAGTTTGGACCTATTTACGAAATAAAATACAGAATGATGATAACTAACAGTACCAAGCCATGGGTTTTCCAGAAGCCCTGTAAAAATAAGATTTATAACTCAAGTTTTATAGGTGTTAAACATTGTATATTACTAGTTATATTAAAAAAAATAATAATGAAAATCCAAAAAATACCTCCCAATAATTTTTAAATATGCCACAAATAAATGATATTTATAATTTTTTAATTGTGAATATATGAAAAATATGGATCTCAATTATACTAAGGTTCAAATAGAAAAAAAAGAAGTATAGAAGAGAGGATAATATAAAATCATGCACAAAATTCTTCGAATCCTGGCTGTTATTTAACTGCCATAAATAAATTCTTTTTTAAATGGAGAAGAATAACACGATATTAGTGGGATAATGTTTACTTTAATTATAACACCAAGTTTTCTAATTTATTTTTTCAAGGTCGCTAATAAAACATGGTTATCTAAAGTAATGACAGTCACATTGGGTGAAAATGATTCCCCACAAACAAACAATACCTATAAATAAATAAAATTACAAATATTAAAAATGAGTATGAAGTTTGTGATTAATTAACAGATGAAACCATGAAATAAACAAGGAGTGGCAAAAATAAATTGTTTACATTAACTGATTCAAAAGTGGTTAACTACAAATAGTACCAGTCAGAATTACGGATAATTATGAAAAAACTTACTGATTATAAAATGATAAAGATGAACTAAAATCCATTTAAGAACATGTTGAATAATGATAATATAAAATTTAGAAGGTAAAAAAGCTGTCAATTTTACTCAAATAAAGAAACCTAGGGCATAGCTACTATCCGTTCCTGTGTATCTTAGAAGATATAGAGATAAAAAATTCATATAATTGAAGTTACATATCTATCAATTAATTATCCAGTTTCGTAAACTATTTTAGGATGGTAGTGATCATTACTATGGTATAAATTTAACGATTATGTATGTAGGTAATAAAATCATACCTCATTTTCAGACGATTGGGCACTTTTTGTTGACTTTTGTGACTGTGTATCTTCAGAATTTTTCATTTCATTAAATCCAATTTTTGAGGGATCAGGTGAATTTTGCAGATGGACAACAAACGGTAAACTACTCTTCAAAACAATGTTTTTAGTGCGGTAATACTCATCTCCTGCAGCATCTATCACTAGAAGAGTAGTAACATGAGGAAGAGCTTTGATCCTCTGAACAACTTGTTTGTGATTTTCATTTGCAATATTGACAGCGTTTACTTCTATAATTCTGTCACCTTCCTTCAAGCCAGCAGCTTCAGCGGGTGAACCTTCGTCCACTTTTCCAATGTATTGACCAGGTTTTGTTTTTTCAGCATACAAATTAAAACCATATCCATCAAAATTATCACATTTAAATATCTGGCACAACCTAAGCGATTCGGCATACTGTTTCTCTTCCGACATTTGTGAAGAATAATAGAACCACAATACCCTACTAACAAGAGATCAACGATATATTATGAAAGTTGGGCTGGACGATAACGAATGATACAAGGATACCACCTAGATATTCAATTGTCCTTAAGAAATCTAAGAGCAACTTACAGTGACGTCACCCTGTATGGGAAATATTGAATATCTAAATCTACTTAATATTTTGTTTTAGAAGAAAATAATAACTTAACTTTCGAGATTTATGTATGTCCCAAAATAAAACACTCGCATTTTATTTTTCTGTCACTTTGTTAATGAAAATAGTGACTGTAAGGAGTAGATCAGGATAAAAAGTTCGTATTTTATTTTTCAGTAAGTAGCTTATATAAAATCTATAATTGTAATTAAATGCGTGTATCGTAGACTATTACAATCATCGTCTACTAAACAAATAAACTATCGGGTTCTAATCAATGGTTTACTACCCGATTCCATCCAGCAGTTCATAATATTATAAAGACATATATACATATTGTTATAGTATTATCTTATTAATTTCCAGTTATGTTAGGTGTTATTTTGTTGAAAACTCATTGTTATTATAATGAGATCAATGTATAATTTTCCGTATTAATTTATGTTACAAATTTATAATACTTAATGTAGGCACCACTTTCACTAAAGTGCCAAAATTTAGATGTTGATTTTCTACTAAAGAAAATATCTGATTTTCAATCTGGAAAGGGTATTCTATTTATTTTTTACATAGAATTCACGCTAATTGGCTTTTAAAGGTACTAGTCAAATAATAATCAGTCAAATTGTCAACATTGATGTGAAATTTACATCTTTAGTTCAGAGGGTGAATCTTTTCAATAGGACTTAATTTTCAAAATATTTAGTGTTTTATCGATTTTTTCCGTACTGTCAATTAGATAATTATTCATGTAAAACTTAGGAAATTCTGACGGCGTATATTGCATCAGTATATATTTAATTATATATGTAATTAAAAAACCAATATATTGGGTTGGAAAACAAGTCCTTTCGGTTTTCAAGGTGAAATAAAACTTAATGTACTATAGACATAAAATTTATTTTAATCTACAATATATTGACCATAATTTAAAACCACTTTTTCCCATCTTGCTACTAACTGCATAATGCCATGTTCATAAAATGTCTGGAGTTTATTGTTAAAAACTGATTCAAGTGGATTTTCATGTCCTCCTTCTTTTCGAATTTCTTTCCATTCATGGAGTTCTGCAGAGACTGGAATACGTGGTAGTCACTTGGAGCTAGGCCTGGTGAATATGGAGGGTGGGGCCTCCTAATCCGCATAGCCGAAATCCTATACTCAATAATTTATTGCGAGTGACCAATGAGATGTGGGACCTAGCGCTGTCTTGGCGGAACATAACATCCCTCCGATCATTCATAACTCAGGATGTTCTGCAAATTCGATGTTACTATATCCATTATTATTGCTCTTCAAAGCAGTATGAATGTTTTTTTGTTTTCATGCCTACATAAGGAATAAATAAACAAAAACTCGTTATAAATTTTTATTGTTTTCTGAGGGGCTGGTGCGAAGTGGTGCAGAATATTATGAACGCCGACGCTCCTAAGCAATGCCCTCTGAAGGTTGGCGAGATTGAAGGCCACTTCAGAAGCCTCTTTGAGAAAGAAAATCTCTGCAAACGTGCGGACTACGAAAATTGCGCACGGACGCCAAATCTAACATCCATCGATGTCCAAGTAGTAAAAAAGGCGATCAAATCTACGTCATTGTACACATCACCGGGGCCGGATGGAGTTTTAGTCCGCACGATTAAATTCTTTGATGTGTCATATATCATAAAGATCATTGCGGAGATCATGCTGACGGTGGCGTATGCACCAGAGCCTTTACGTCAAGGTCGCACAATCCTGGTCTACAAGAGTAAAGGAAATGCCAACAGTATATCACCATGGCGACCCACTACCATTTATTCAATTGTGCCCCGAATTATTGAGAAGGTTCTGGTCTATGAACTGAGAAAATAGATCACCTTCAGCAAAAATCAGAGTGGCTTCATCAGAGGCCTACCGGGAGCCCTCGTAAGCGCAAGAATCATCGACGCAATCATAAAAGACGCTAAGAATAAAAAGAATGATTGCGCGGTGGTGTTTTTAGATGTCCTCGACGCTTTCGACAACGTTGGTCACGAACATATAATCGGGTCACTAGGGGCAAGGGAGTGTCACCGGACCTGAAAAACGTAATTGCGGCTCTCCTGGGGTCAAACCAAATTAAGATTGGAATCGGAGTCCACACGACTAGCTGGATCAAGGTGCGGCGAGGAGTAACCCAAGGCGGACCCTTGTCGCCCTCGCTGTTCAACCTGGCTATAGATCATGTATACCGCCACCTGTGTGATCAAGAATTTTCCAACCGCTATGGATATAAATTAGCCAGCGACCAAGAATGTGTGGTCCTCACAGGCTTCGCGGATGAACAGGCTGTTACAGCGCGTGACAAGGGTGCTGCAGAAAGGATAATTGACTGTGTACAGAGAATTCTCGCCGAGATTGGTCTGGTTTATCCGAAGAAAAACGTGTGCCTAATAATGGATAAAGGAGAGCTGCAACAAACAAAGCTCTCCCTTGAGAACGGAGAAGTCATTCATACATCAAAGGCAGATGATACTATAAAATATTTAGGATGCACGTTCTCATGGGAGCTAGTAATAAATGAAGAAAAGATAAAAAAATTTAACGACCACTTGGATAAACTGGTGAGCCTTCTCAAACCGGAGCAGAAGATCAACGTTGTAAACCAGTACGTGTTACCGGGACTTACTTACCCTCTCCAAACGGCGCCCCTCACAAAGATACATCCTGCGATCTTGGAAGGAATCGATACAAATATCCGCAGGAGTATCAAGGCCATTATCGGGCTCCCTGCTAATGCATCAACGGCGATGTTCTATGCACCGAGGAGGTTTCGAGGATTGGGACTGATCCGCTCTCAATGGGAGGCTCCTTTACAGCATAGGTCTATTGCCCAGCGGCTGTCTAATGTACCGGATGCCCTGTTCCAGTCCACATTTTATTATAATGCGGAAATCGCAGAATGTGCGGAAAGACTGGGACTGGATCAGGGCCACCGAAGTGTGAGAGCTCTACGACAGTCGCTGAGAGAAAACTCTTTCGAAGAATGGGCCAGCTGCAGGTGGCAAGGCGTTGGAATTCGACACTTTAAAGAGACCCCGAAAGCCAATAAATACATATGCCAGAAATAACTGCTTTCTGGGACGGAATGGTCCATCGACTTAAAACTAAACATCAATTACGCACCTTTACGCGGAGTCCCAGGAGCCAGTGGATAGTCGAAGGAAGTTGGGTCCTTCTGTCGTAAATGCGGCAGAGAGTCAGAAACACCAGCCCAGGTGCTGGGAAAATGCCCCAACAATTCCCTCCTCATAACACGCCGGCACCATAGGGTTAAGTTCGAGGTGATGAGGCTCCTTAGAGAAAAGGAATTCACCTGCTTTGACGAGGTCTATTGCATAGACAGTGAAGGAAAAAGAGGAATATATACGACAAATGCATCCCTTTCCTAAAAGAGAAATTCCGCGAGACCTTCGTAGAGAGAGGGTTCACCGTGAGAGGCCTCTGGTTTGGGTCTCGCGGAACGATCCCGGAAAGAACAAGGAGCTTTCTCGAGGAACTAGGTGTTGATGTTGGGGAGCTCGCGGTATTGGCCGAAAATATTATTTTGGACTCCCGGGAAACGACTAGCTGTGAATCACAGAACCATTTGGCTGATAGTTGCTTGCAGTGTTTGCATTTCAAGTTACTCTTACCGTGATTTTTCTTGCTTCAGGCATTATTTTAACGACTTTATTATGATAACCCAGTAGTTTTGGTGAAGCTATAACGCCCAGGAAGTGTGTAAATGCTCCTGTCAGCTTCTGTTACATTTGTGAGGAAGTAACCTTTACAAGTCAAAAAAGTCCTATCACGCAGATGATCAAGACAGCACACCACAAATATTTTGAGGTGAACGTTGGTGACCAACATAAACCAATGACCCCACATATCTGCTGCATCACACTTAGCGTGACCTTAAGAGAATGGTTGAACAAGAAAGGTCGTTCAATGCGTTTTGCTGTCCGTGGTGTGGAGGGAGTTTACTAATCACACTACAAACTGCTAATTTTGTATGATCCCTCCTCTTCATCATGGAATGTCTCGGGAAAAGAATTCGGAAGTGAAGTACCCTGACATTCCTTCTGCTATACGGCCAATACTACACGGGGACGAATTGCCTGTTCCAAGATCTTCTGAACACTATGACTTGAATGAGGACGAGGATAACGAAGAGGAAAATCTCCTTGGAGGAACTCTGTCAGATAATTCTGATTTTTCTTTCGAACAAGAAGAACGAAAACCCCACTTGCTTACTCAAGCTGAACTCAGTGACTTGATTCAGGAACTGAATTTGCCTAAAGAGAAAGCAGATCTTTTGGTTTTAAGATTGAAGCAATGGAACTTCTTACGACCTGGTGTAAAGATTGCAATGTATAGAAATCGCCAAAAAGATTTGATCCTGTTTGGGGCATCAGGCATTCCCTAATCCCGAAGTAGGGGGAATCAAACCTGGATGCTAATTACTTGATCAGAAGGGGGTGTTCATGCGGAATGTGAAATGAGTAAAATGAGGTTTAATATAAAATATATTGATAAACTAAATTGAAATAGAAAGAGGTTAATGGGGTTTAAGATGTACATTTGGGTTATTATGTTAATGAACTATTGGTTAATATGGGCTGACCAGATAAATGAAGATGCTGGATGGTTGATGATGATTTTGAATTCTCCATTGAGAGACTGGTTTCTGTGTCATCTGAGTTGAATGATGTGTCTTGTCACATACTGGCATCCATGCCACCTCTTCCTGCCACTTCTATGTGTTGGTCTAGCTAGACATGTGATTCAGACTTTATGTGAATATGCTTGGTCATGGAGACCATTTTGCTAGGCAGAGTCGGACTCAGACTCGCACTGGAGTTGTACTTTGGCCCCGCTGGTCCCAGGTCACCAGGCAGGGCTAAACTTCTTCAGCTTGCCACTAGATGACACTGTAATAATGGCCAATAGATGGCGAAACTGGTGTGCGCTATTTGACGCACTTAAATTAAGAGCTACAGTGAGTGGCCTTAACAGATCCCTTTTTCAAAAAGTATGCGAATCCTGTTGTGATGTCCCAGGTCTGATGACAGCATTAAATCTCAATCCTTCTGAATTAAGCTGTTCATAGATTCATCAAAAGCATCCCTCAAGGCAGTTCTGTTGCTACGATCTCTCTAACTCTTAAAATTGCGTCGGCCAAGGTGTTTTCATCTCCGGGTACGTGGCGGATGTCTGTCGTGAACTGGCTAATAATATCCGCATTAGTGCCACTGTTTCCGGAATCTGCAGAAGTGCATACTCTAGTGGTTTGTGGTCCGTCCAATTTTCAAATTGCCTTCCCTTCAGGTACTGCGTGAAATTCTTAATGGTCCGGTGGATAGCCAGAAGGTCTATGTCGTATGTGGCATACTTCTTCCTTATGTTCTAGAGCTAAAGCCTTGGAGAAAAATTCTCAAAGTCGCCAAGTGTAGTTATCCTGCTGCTGCAAAACGCTTCTGTTCCTTGGATCAACGTTGAGGCGATGATAATGTCTACCAGGAACCACCACGCAAAATCCAGACCTCGAAGTACTCGGTAAAAGAATCGCTGGAAGGTCTGCGAAACGTTCGTCAAACCAAAGTACATAATTTGAAGAGTCCAAAGGATGAGATTACTGCCTTCTTTTAGATGTCCTCCTCTGCAACCGGAATTTGATAAAATGTACGGTTGAAATCAAGCATGGCGAATAGTTTCTTTTCGTGCATATTCACGTTAAAATTTCCCAGTTCGGGACTGCGTATCAGTCGGGGACCGTTTTGGCATTCAACTGCCTGTAGTCGCCGCTTGGTCGAATGTTCCCGTCCTTCTTCTCTACAATGTGTAGTGGGCTAGCCCAGAAACTATTGGACGGCCAACAGATCCCCTCTTAAATCATTTGTATTAACTCCCTCTTGGCGGGTTTGCATCTCCCCGATGGGAGGCGGTGGGCTCTGGCCTTGTCTTACATCAGCCACAATGAGTCGCCAAGACATCTTACGGCGAAGACCAAAGTCAAAGTTTTGGAACACGCTCCCATAGGCTGGAATGGGTCCCATTTGCTGCATACAGAATGAACTCCTGGCTGCTCTTCTTCTGCACTGTCACCCCCGGGTTAGACATTTAGAGTGGCGCCAGTATCCACCAGATATCTGATTTCGAACTTATCGGCAATGAAGAGTTGGTGGTTGATGACCTCAGTGACAAAACTCGCCTCGTTTGTCACTAGTTTGACGCCCTAGTCGGTTTCCAATAGCGGGGCTGTCGGCACGCGGTCTCCTCTTTAAACTGCTCATGGTAAAAGCACAACCGTCTTCTACTTTTGCTTCTCGAGGACCTCTGATTCCTGCTGGAAGATCCTTTCTCCCTCTGACTTGTTCTCGTTCCCTTTTGTGCTTTTACTGCGGCCACTTCTCTAGTTAAGCGATCTATTGCCGCTCCTAAATCTACTCTTCTCAATAAATCTGTGGCGGGCAGGCTCACTATAATTGGATCCTGCTGTTGATTAACATAATGAGCTGTATATTGTCGGCTGTGTTGGTCAATTTCGAAACATCGGTGTGATCTGTCGCAGCTAGGGCTGTTTCCCTTCAGGCAATCCCCTGAGCCACAGCATGATAAGCATGCCTTCAGGGACTTTATCTCCAACCAACTGCAGTATTCCTCTGAGAAACTGGGATGGTCACTGATCGCCCAACATCTCTTCTTCTAAAATTTCCTTAATCGAACGCTACCTTTCTGGCCGAAACTTGAGAGAAGTCTCTCATTAACCTCTCGTAGGGCTCAGCGGCAGGTAGTTGCTGGAGAGATCGGCTACCTGCTTCAGCGTCCCAAAATCAAGCTTGGGGATAATCAGGTGGAATTTTCTCTTTGAAATTGAGACCTTGCAAGAACTGAATACAGCTTTCACCTGTACAAACCATGAATTAGTCCGGTTCTTCACGGTAAAATGTTGGCAGACGTGATAGAGCATTAGGTGCAGAGGCTGACTCTATGGTCTCTCCTTTTATCGGAGTCATTTTATTGAATCTTAATAAAAATAAATGAATATTAAAATGACTTAGTCAACACTAACGTCGGCCTCACCACTTTGGTGATAATAGGGTGAAGTGAACCAAATAAAATCTTTCTTCAGCAATTTACTTTATTACAAATCCAAAATCCAAAATGAGATGTCCAAATACAATTTCCAGGTCTTAGCCGTAATTTACTAATAGAGAACAATTCATTAAAATAAAGAGAAAAAAACGGCCATCACAATACTACTGCAGCTGGTGAGAGATTACTAATGAATTTGTCACTGATAAATATGAGAAATACTATTGAATAGTAATAACAAAGCAACATATTTTAACTAAACATGGCAAGAAAAAATAAAACGAATCAAATATGAACGGCAGTGACAAATCTATTTCTCACTACCTCTTTGCTTACACCAGCTGTGTGTACATAACCTGGCATACACTACTCCTACGCAAGAGAGATGGGCAAATGCTATTATGAGTACTGAGTACCAAATATTTTACTCAAATACTGACCTTTTTATAGTACCTAATAATTTAGTTACTACTTCAGTTGATGTCAAAGGATTAACTGAAGTAGTGATTGAATTCCCAATAGTGATTAAATTTGAGTAAAATATTTGGCACTCGGTACTCAGAGTATCATTTGCCCATCTCTGATACACATTCGTTAACAAATACATATTAACAAATGTTGGCCGCTACAAACCATGTCACCCCCTTCTAGGTATCTCTGTTCGAAACTGTTACGGTTTTTACGTTTAAAAGGTTATAAAACTTCCCAAATAGATAAATATTGAAGCATCTGTTGTTTTCATGAGTAGGAACATTGCGTTCCTACTCATGAAAACAACCCATGCCGAATGAAATTTAAAAAGAAAAATAGATAAGAACTGGGGACTGCATGCTGCTAAGTAGCCTGAGAATCATCCAATTACTTTTTAATTATAATAAAATACTTCATTAAAACTATATTTATTATTTCCCCTAATTATTAATATTTTTAAGTAATCGAAGGACCATTTATTTCATTTATAACTGGTTCACCATCTAATTTCTCCAATTGTGGTAGTTTTCTGGTCGCTTCTAATCTCCAACCAGATTCTTCATAAGATTCACAAAGAGGGTTTCCTTAAAAATGAATAAACACAATTACATTTATAGAAATAATCTTAAATATAAAATATAGAGTTTTTTTGCTTACCCATAAACGACAATTCCTTCAACTCTTGACATTCTTGTAATTTTTGAAATTCTGACCATTCCTTTATTAGATTATTAGACATATACAAAACTTTTAAATTACGTAGAGCTCCAATACCTTTTGTCTTATCAATAAAATTGTACGATATCCATAATTGTTCTAAACTGTCAGCAACTGCTTCCTAAAGTGACAAAAGATAACCTTTTATAAAAAATACTCTTTTAAACAAAGAATATTAAAAATAATAAACTTTCACTTGAAAGTTGAGTTCCAAATGATGAAAATACCATTTGTTAGCTTGAATAATTTGGTGGTATAAGAAACAAGTACGGTATTACAAATCTTCAAATCTGAACATACCGTGTATTTCAGGGTTAATTGGCCCAACTGCAAAAATGAACTAAGGACCACATAACAAGAAAAAAATTCCTCTGAAGGTATGTCCGAAAACGCTTTGTTTAGGAGATTCACACTTAAAGATTTCGTTATTATGAATTATTTACGTTATATGAAATAAATAAAACCTACTTACTTGTTCTACCTACTTTATTAATTAAATTTGAACATTAACATTCATATTAAATGTTGTTCAAAGAGATTTCCCTGAGCATTAAGACAGCCTCTGCATCTTTCTTCAACAGCAGCAGTGGCAGAACGGTACTGGATGTGTGTTATTGTTTCACAAGATTCAATTATCCTTCTTTGTAAGGAATTAAAAGTTCTGCGCATGCGCTTGATTTGAATACCCACATTCCACGTCGTGTCCCACAGTTTTACTATTTTTTAGTAGAATAAGTGCTCAGTTTTACTTTTTTTTAAAAAAACTAGTTAAGCAGACATCAAAACAACAACAATGGACTAACACCACAGTGAGTAGTGTTGTTATTTACTATTACATACAGTGAATTTAGTGGTTTAGCGTCTATAAGCTTAATCTCTATAGCCATAACAGCTGACGGCTCCCCACTCCAGTTGTGGCCTCGCCACGTAACTGGCTGGTTTACAGTCGGTGGTTCATCCATTGTAATAACACGCAGACGTAGTTTTATTTATTTATTTTTTTTCCCTTTTTTTTTGTTTTATATGCGATATTACCACCAAGTAATGTCAACTAAGAGGTCCCATTCAGTTGGCTCTACCCCACGTAATTCACCGCCTAAACAGAAAACACGTCGTAGTAAGCGATTAACACCCCCCGGAACTCCTCCAGCGAACACTCAAGTATCTGTGTCTCAACCACTGCCAAGTACGTCTTCACAAGAAATGGAATCTCCATTTTTTACACCTAATCCATACCAGGTGCTTGAAAATGACAGGGAAGAAATGGAAGATGCACCTATACCTCGAGAACCACGCCCACCTATCTTTGTCAAAAATTTGAGAAATTTCCAGTTGTTGTGTACTCAACTTAATAAAATCTGCCCAGGTAGCTATACATGCCTAAACAGAATAAATTATACAAAAATAATACCGGCCACACCTGAAGCGTACCGAAAAATCGTAAAATATTTAACAGACACAAATGCGGACTTTCACACATACCAGTTGAAACAGGAAAGAGCACTACGAGTTGTAATAAGAAATTTACACTCCTCAACCCCAATAGAAGTGATTAAAGAAGAGTTAACGGCGTTAGGGTTCAAAATACGTCAGATAACCAATGTATTAAAAGAAAATAAAGAACAACCAGGTGTAAAGAATAAAATCCCATTGCCCTTATTTTTCGTCGATCTAGAGCCATCGCCTGGGATCGAAAAAATATACGATGTGAATAGAATTTTCTACACCAGCGTAAAGGTCGAAAAACCGTACCCAAAAAGAGAGTTCATCCAGTGCCATAATTGCCAAGCATATGGCCACACCAAGTCTTATTGCCACCACTTAGCACGCTGCGTGAAATGTGGTAAAACACACAAGTCTGGCGAGTGTAATAAACCAATTACAGAACCAGCAGTCTGTGCCCTATGCCTGGAAGGCCATCCAGCCAACTACAAAGGCTGCCAAATTTATAAAAATCTTAAAGCGAGATATATGAAACCCAGGGACCCTGATGATACACCTAAACCAAGAAGAGGACCCGCTAAAATTGTGAACTCTAAGGTTTCTTTTGCCAAGCTACTTGGGGGTAGAGAATCGACTAATGTATGTGAGGCCCTGCCGCAAGAACAAACTCAACCCCAATCTCAATATCCTATCCCACCTAATGTACCTAATCAACAACAACCTCACCAACATCAAATCCAATATGTTCCTCCACCGCCTAATGCTACAGATCTAACCAGCTTATTGACATCCTTTCTTTCAGAATTTAAATCCCTTGTTACCCCACTGATATCACTTCTCACTAACCTAGTATCTCACCTTATCCCTCCTTTAAAAAATCCTTAAATGACTTCCATCAGACCCATATCCATTCTCCTTTGGAATGCGAATGGTGTTAGAAATCACATACACGAACTAACAGCCTTACTACAAGACAAGAACGTAGACGTAGCCCTAATAACGGAAACTCGACTGACTAAAAAACAGCTCCTAAAAATACCACAATACATAACTTACCGTACCGACCATCCTGACGGTAGAGCACATGCCGGTACTGCAGTCATTGTGCACCAATCCCTCTCCCATCACCTACTCCCACTGCCTACACACGATTTCCTACAATCCACCGCAGTCGTAATCAAAACCTTCTCCTTTCCTATTACCGTTGCATCAGCGTATTGCCCTCCAAACCAACATCCAATATCCAATTTAGTTCCTTCCTCATTTCCTTAGGACATCATTTCATCTTGGGTGCAGACTTAAACGCCAAGCATCAACAATAGGGTTCAAGAACCACGAATTCTCGTGGTCGAACATTGCTGTCTGTACTCAATTCCCAAAATTTTACCCTTCTTCCACCCAACTCACCTACCTACTGGCCCACTGATCCTAACCGTAATCCCGATTTCCTCGATTTCTTTATCCATAATGGTTTAGGTGCTCTCAACCATTCCGTTGCCCGTCTTGACGAGCTTTCCTCAGACCACAGCCCATTAATACTCCAAGTATCACTAGCTCCTATTCCTAAACCCTCTCCTCCGTCCTTCATCAGAGGCCCAGTTAACTGGAAACTCTTTCAGCAAATCCTCTCCGATAAAATTGACCTCAGAGTAACCCTGAAAACCTCTGAAGACCTGGACAATGCAGTACATTCCTTCACTACCAAAATTCAAGAAGCAGTCTGGACTGCTTCCTCCCCTGATCACTCCTCAAAAATCCTTAAGAAACATAATTTACCTCAACACCTCCTTGACCTAATCCACATAAAACGCCGTGCCAGATTATTATGGCAACGTACCAGACATCCAGCCGACCGCCACTCCTACAATTATCACTGTAAAAAATTAAAACAAGAATTAGCCACCTTCAGATCCCAATCATTCAATTCCTACCTCACCACACTCTCTGCTCATGATAATTCCCTTTGGAATATCACCAGAAAAATCCTCAAATCCCATCATATTTCCCACCCTCTTCGACGAGATGATGGCTCCTGGGCAGCATCTGATGAAGATAAAGCCGAGGAATTTGCCAAACACCTTTCCTATACTTTCGCTCCTCATCCAGAATCCCATCCCAGCCACACAGTAAAAGTAGAAGAATCCCTCTCAATACCTATCCCACTCTCCTTACCACCTAAAGCTGTTAATCCCTCTGAGGTCAAATACCTTTTACGGAAAATCACTCCTCGCAAATCTCCTGGATATGACCTTCTAACCCCACAGATCCTTCGACAACTTCCATCTAAAGCCATCATATTTCTTACATATATATACAATTGCATTCTACGAACTACCCACTTCCCTCTTTTATGGAAACATTCCACCATCGTCCTCTTCTTGAAACCAGGCAAACCTTCCAACAATACAGCATCCTATAGACCAATTAGCCTACTCCCAATCCTCTCAAAAATTTTTGAAAAGATCCTACTGAAACGAATCCTACCTATAATTGAATCCTATAACCTTCCTACTCATCAATTCGGATTTCGTTCCCAACATTCCACTGTCCAACAAGGACTCCGAGTTGTTGACCATATATCCTCAACCCTAGAAAGCAAACAGTATTGCTCGGGTGCATTTCTGGACATAGCGCAAGCTTTTGACCGGGTATGGCACGCCGGATTACTCTTCAAGCTTAAAATCCATCTTCCACAGTCCTTATACCTTGTACTCCGATCCTATCTTTCCGACCGCTCCTTCCGAGTTCGCTGTGGCACCGAATTCTCCGACTGTTACTCAATTGAGGCTGGCGTTCCTCAAGGCAGCGTCTTGGGCCCCATCCTTTACATTCTCTTTACCGCTGATATTCCTGTCCATCCCGATACCCTCCTGGCAACTTTCGCTGATGACACTGCTATCCTGTCTTCCAACTCAGATCCTGAAACAGCGTCCGCAAACTTACAAAGGCACCTCTTCCTGATTGAACACTGGTGTAAGAAATGGCGCATTAAGGTAAACGAATCTAAATGTAAACACATTACCTTCACCCTTCGGCGTAATACCTGCCCACCAGTTTATTTTAACTCCATCCAGCTTCCTTTCTCAGATACAGTCCGGTATCTTGGCTTTCTCTTAGACAGACGACTAACATGGAATCCACATACTCGACTTAAAAGACAGGAACTTAACAGACGATATGGCCAGCTATATAGACTACTGAATAGAAAATCTAAACTTTCTGGTGAAAACAAATTACTGATCTACAAGACAATACTGAAACCCATCTGGACTTACGGACTAGAACTATGGGGAACAGCCAAATTTTCTAACATCAAACGCATTCAATCCTTTCAGTCTAAAGTCCTCCGTACAATAGTCGATGCTCCCTTCTATGTAACCAATAAAACCCTACACCATGACCTTAATATCCCATTTATTCTTGATCTTATCCCAGCCAAATTTTCCAAATTTCCCCAGAACCTTTCTCATCACCCAAATCCCGTTGTACAATCCCTATCAAGCACCACCCATCCCTACAATCCCCTTCGTAGGTTATAGCGGCAGTGGCCACGAGACCTTTTGTAAATATGGATATTTTGGGGTTCTAGCAATGGCCAGATTCTCCACTCAAGTCGTGAGTGTCTGTGGCTGTAGCGCTCTTACTCATCCTCCGCTGGTTTAAAATACCAGTGAAGTG